GTTTGCCAACAATCCTTCTGTATCCTTTGTGTTGTTCGTGGTCAAGAAGTGCTTCATCCTCTATTGTTGGTGTGTAGTGGGCGATTCCTGGAGTGGTCACCGTGTTGCAGTTGGTCATTCCAGTCTCCTTGATCATGTTGTCGATGTAGGAGTCGTTCTGAATGGCCTCGAAGATGGAGTCAACCGTAGTCTTGTCTCCAAGTACCAGTAGATCGTCCACGTAGACCATGATGTAGCAGTCGCGAGTCGCATTGGTGTAGACGCTAGGTTCTGACTTGAGTCTTACAAAGCTGAGGCTCTGTAGTAGTTGTGTGACGTGTGTTGCTAGCTTTTGTTTGTTATTTTTGTTTGTTGTAACAACTGACAACGGTTCAACAATTGTGTGTTGCTCGTTTGTTTGTTTGTTTGTTTGTTTGCTTGCTTGCTTGCTTGCTCTTGCTTGCTTATTGTTTGTTTGTTTGGTTGGGTTGGGCGGTATGTATATTGCTATATGTATGTATGTATGTATGCATGTATGTCAGACGAATGTCAGTATGTGTAGGTATGTACATATGTATGTATGTATGTACGTATGTACGTATGTATGCGTGTGTGTGTATGTATCTATGTATCATTCTGTATCTATGTCATTTATGTATGTATGTATGTGTGTACGTATGTATGTATGATTGATGTATGTATGTATGTATGTGTGTGTGTATGTATTTATGTATCTATGTCATGTATCTATGTAAACTTGTAGTTGTGTATTGTAATTAAATTAAGTATGTCTTTTTTGGCTGACCGATTCCTGGAACTTTACTAATGGTTAGCCAGGCAAATGTTGTCACTCTGCCGCACTAACGTGAACAAATACTTATCGAACCAGATTGAAAGGCAACGCTTGTCTCCATAGATAGCAGATTGTCAGGCAATTAATTGTTTGTCTCCTTTGTAAGTGTTTTGTTTTCATTACGGTCATGCAAATGTAATTTGCCTCCGCAGGCAGAATCGTAGGCGCATTTAGTCTCCACTGAACTTTACGGTCAGAATGTCAGGTAGTCTCCAGACTTATGTGTTATGTTCAGATTGTCAGGCAAATCTAGTCACCACAGAACTTTACGGTTCTCATTATAATGTCATATATTGTCAGGCAAATTTAGTCTCTGCAGGACGAATACATAATGTGTTACCATCAGATTGTCAGTATTATAAAGAAGTCGTCTCTGCACACGGTGAGATTGTCAGGTAAATGTTGTCTCCATAATATTACGGTCAGATTTTCAGGCACATTGCGTTGCCGCATAACTTCTACGGCTAGTGTAGTAGTGGTGGAAGTAGTGGATGACGATCTGGTTCTGTAGGAGGTTGTCCCCATTGTGGTTAAGACTTTGGAGTTGGAACTGGAGTAATCTTGACGTTGTACCTCTTTGTGGGAGCACCCGATTCTGCAGTGAGCGATGAGGAGATGCTGTAGCTGCAGACTTTCGTCGGAAAGTAGTTTCACCAACCCAGTGGTCTCCTGGTACCAGTTCATTCTTCTCCTTCTTGGTCACATCCGGGTAGTTGTCAAAGTAGTGCTTCTCATCCTTACCAGTTCTGCGAACAGTAGTCTTCCTCAAGTTGGTCCGTAGGTACAGGACATTGAGTGCCTTCAGGCGTAAATTTCGATCGAAGATTCGTTTTGTGGACTTGGATGATGTGGTCTCCACTGATGGGCCGGTAGTCAGTGGGTGGGCCCAGCGCCGCGTCCACGCCCCACCTAATAAGCACGCCCGCTCACGCACCCGCCCAGCGCTGCGCGCATGCGCTGCGTGATGCTGGCATGATGTTGCAAACGATGCTGCGCGTAACGTCACGCCCCACTCCTCCCCAATACCCCACCCCAGCTGTTGCGTGAGCGGGTGCGCATACAAGGTGGCAGGCATCTGTGCAGTGCTAAACTGCCACCACCCTTCTTCACTGGCGACTACTCCGAGTATGAAGAATGGCTGTTCAAGCTACAAGCATACCTCGGCCTCATGGACCGAGGCTTCGACCTGGTGCTACAACTAGCACAAGTAGCTACACGACAGATTGCGGACATAGACATCAGAACACACACAGAGATCTACACTACATCCTCATCAACATCTGTCAAGGAGCAGCAGCTACAGTAGTAAGGCAAAACCGCTACAACGCAAATGGATGTGAAACACTGCAACTCTTGCGCAACGGGTTCAGCCTACCAGCAGGAACAGGAAGCGGCTGTGGGGTCACTTGCGACCCGCCCATCCGATCATACTTAAAGGGGTGGGGTGGGGGGGAGTGATAGCGCTCGCTGGCAAGCACTGGGTGGGGGAGTTGCTGTCGCTGGTGAAAAGGGGAAGAAAAGGGAGGGGGGGTGTGCGTGGGCGGTTGGTGCGGGGTGGGGGGGCACACCCACTCACGTGCGCCCGCCCAGCACTGCATCCACGCCTACCACCCAAGAAGCACACCCGCTCGCGTGCGCCCGCCCTTTGAGCGTCGTTGTCTTGTTCTGTTCCTGCGCCTGCAGCAGTGGCTCCTACGGTTTCTGCTGTTGGCCCGTTCTCTGCTCCTGTAGTTTGTTGTGCTGAAGCTGATGCTGCTTCTTCTGACATGCCATAGTAGTTTGGCATGTGATTGCTGTTGCAGTTGTTGTAGTACTTACTGCTGAATACTGGAGCTCCCCTATGTTTAGGATCTCAGCTCCGCTACCACGTTAAAACAGGAGTTACAGTTGCTGCAAGCGCAAGCGCTGTAATGTTGTCACTAACAATAAATCCTGTAGTGTCTGCAATGCACTTTTTCCTAGCAGGCTCTGTAGTCGTGCGACTGAGCAGCTCAAGGCCTTCAGTGGTGCACACATGCAACACAAATGCAAGTTGTGAAGCATGTAGTTTGACATCTCTCTCTCTCTCTCGCTCTCTCTCGCTCTCTCTCTCTCTCTCGCGCTCTCTCTCTCTCTCGTTAAAAATGCAAGCGCAAATGCTGCGTTGTTGTTATCACAAACAAACGTAGCCTGCCGCAGCCCTTTGACGGCACAGCTTCGCCTCCACTACGCCTTGAACATCAAGGTGCTGCTGGACACTCTGCGTGCGTGGCGAACTCCCCAGCAACATTACGGAATGGCGGCTCTGGTGCTCAATGTGGTAATCGCAACAAGGACGCACGGTCATGGCCATGTTTCGACACATGTTCGGTGGCTGCATAATCTAATAAGAGTTGCTAACGCCACAGCCGTGTTTGATGGTTTCTCTTGGGAGCATGCGGCGCGCTGGGCACGACAGAGATGAAGGCCCTGAATGCCCAAATGCTGCCGGCTCAAACAAGGATTGTTGCTAGGCGAGGATGTCCCGATCGTAACGCTACAAGGCGCAGTCTGCAAGTTTATGCAAGTTCTTTCTTGCTTTGCTTGTGGCAAGACCTTTAGCCGAGCTCGAGAAGAAGATAGCAGCCAGAAGTGGCATGTGCCCAGTCTCGGCCGCAAGCTGCTGAGACTGATGCGCAAGTTTCAGCAGAGTAGCGAGACGGCCACCAAATGCTGCGGTGATGGAAAAGTGCATTGAGTGTCCGTACTACGGAAGTTCCTTCGGAAACTTCCTTTGATTAATGCCAGGTGTTAGGTTGATTCACCCCGAAATCGATGAACAACATCGATGCTTTTACCCGGCGTCAAGGAGATGGATTGACCCGATGTGTCCTTTTCCCAAAAAAGGGGACTTCCTACAGGGACATACATAGACTGATTGTAACTATGTGTTGCTCACATAAGCTACTCAATTTCGCACCTTACATGAAGGAGACAAGCCTCTTTTGGGTTATACAGACCTGTCATGCTTTTTGGTGTTTGGGGTCGAGGCTGGTGTAATTTAGCCAAGAAGCCAGCACTTCTTGTACCAACTGGTAGGCTGAACCGGTTGTTCAAAAGTCGTAGTGTTTCGCAACCATTGGCTGTGTAGCGGTTTTGTCTGACCACTGTAGCCGCTGGGCCTTGACAGATGCTGATGAGGATGTAGTGTAGGTCACGTGCAAGGTTGACGAGCTTGTTGCCTCTTGCAGTGTCAGGTCGTACCTCATTGAACAGGTGTTGGTCTACCACTGTAGCCTGTAGCTACATGTGCTGCTCGCAGTATTTGGGCGAACTTGTTGTCGATGAGTCCCAAGCAGGCTTGCAGCTTGAATCTCCATTCATCATAGTTGGAGTAGTCACCATTGAAGTATGGTGGTGGTATTCTCTGCACATCGCTTTCTGCCTGTGCTGCTGCTGTTGTTGCACCTATTGTTCCTGTAGTTTGTGCTGGTGATATGCCTGCTAATGCTGCCTGTTGATCTCCTGCTGTCATGTCGTAGTAGTTGGGCATACTGGGGTGCTACTGTAGTCGGTACTACTGGAGCTCCCCTTTGGGTAGGATCTCAGCTCCGCTACGTTAAAATACAAGTGCAAATGCTGTGTTGTTGTTATCACAAACAAACGTAGTCTGCCGCAGCCCTTGTTTCTTCTCCAGCTGTAGTGAGGCTCAAGGCTTGCAGTATGTGTCAACTACCAGTGTAGTGCACACGTAGTTTAGCATGTCTCTCTCTCTCTCTGTCTCATTCACGCTCTTAAACGAGTGTCAGCACGACACGCTTCTACACAATGTCTAACAAGGTCGTAGCCATGCCTGTGATTGAACGGGGGGAGGCAAACCCTCCGCGCGGAAATGCGCTCCGTAGCAAGAAGCCCGCGCAGCCTCCATTGCCAGAAAGTGGCAGCAGCGTTTGCGTCCGTGCGTTTGTGTGCGCAGCGTAAATCCACAGCTCAAGCCAGATTTGGCGCACGTTTGTATTTCCATCGGCGCACACAACCATTTGTCTCAAAGACGTGAGCAACCAAACACAGCTGACATGGGGGGCTTCTACATAAGGATGCGCGAAAGACGTCAATCGTTGTTCGCACCCTTGACCACCGCACGGGGGGGGGGCATTTTCGTGCGTTCTCAAATCAAATTTAGTCCGGGCAAAGCAACGGTTTTGCGCAGGCGAACCTGCTCTTTGTTATGGCGGGGAGAGAGAGAAGGCCGACGGAAAGAGCCTTGGCTTGCAACCCCGTTGGCGCGGAAACCACGGCACCTTAGAATCTGCACGCGTTGGCCATCACTCCTTCAATGTTGGTGTCTCGTCCCTTGTTTTTTGCCGATGGGAGAAATTGATCCACGCGCAGGACGGGCGAGGCAACTTGCCATGAGTTTGTTTTGTTTCCGCAAAAACATGGATGTTCATATCCTTGGAAGACGTTGGGACCTTCGTTTCTGTTTGCTTTCAACGCGCTCGGCCCCGAGGATTTGGTGCGATTGGCAGGTGCAGCTGGCCGCCTAATCGGAAAATACCCAAACAAATCCAAAACAGATGTGCAGAAGAGCATTTGGGGTGTTGCATGGCCCAAGGTGGTCACCCCTGGGCCACTTCTTGGCAACTTTCCACAAACAAGGCCAAGCAACGCACGTGCAACGCAGTCGCTTTGAGCCACTTGATAGGCGTGGCTCTTTGGGCTGGCCCGGAGTTCACGAAGAAGGCAACTGACTGGCAGAATTGCATTTTGTGCATTTTGTGCAGTTTGAGACTTTCTGTCGCGGTGTCGTGTCAGATCCGCCTCGCCCACAACGTGAAGCCCTCAGGTTGAATCCTTGCGGCCAGCCAGTGTTCGGCTCCCAGGGTGTGAAATACCTGGAGTTCTCCCCGACAGAGGAGTGACCAGAGCGTGAGAGAAAGGAGAGACCAAAGAGAGGTTTCTCAATGCCAGGAGTATGCATTGACCTGGAATGGCAGCTCTGCATTGGATGCGGATTCCCAAGCAGTGTTGACCTCGGCGCACTGCTGTGCGGATGTGTTGTCAACCATGAAGTGCGACACGAGTTGATACAAGTGTTTGGAAGCATTGCCAGGTGCGCATACACCGCGTGTTGACGGGAGAATGTGTTCACAAATGCCGCACTCCAACAGCCCATACCTTGGGTTTATCGATTTATCCTGGTGTGTGTGTGTGTGTGGTTGCTTGCTTGCTCTGTGTGTGTGTGTTTCGAAGACAGCCTATTGGAGCAAAGGTGGCACCATTAGGGGGTGACTTCCCGCATTTCCTGTGGAGCCATGATGGCAAGTGCGCTTGCCAGTTGCTTTCTAACTTGTCAAGCTTTGTTGCCAAGACAGGTACTTTGCAGAATGCAATGAGTCTGCTATCTCAGTGCGTGAGACTGCAGCTTGGCGATTGTTTGTTCTAAAGCATGCAAGCATGGTTTGTTTTGTGCTAGAGCTTGGCACATTTGTAGGTTTCTTGATTAGCCAAGGATACCTTTCAGCTGATTACAGATGAGGCCTGCCTAAAGTCAGCCTCAGCTTGATAGAATTTGTCATAGGTTGTGGCCTAGGATGGGAAGAAGAAGACTCTCAAGTTCCCAGACCTCAGCACATTTCAGTGGTCTCCCAAGGACGTGATGCGAGACAGGGCAAGCGCCCATATCCAGCACATGACAAAATAGCAGTTTGAGAGTTCATGCAAGGCTAGCCATGTGTCCTTTCCAGGACAATTTGCTCAGCGTTTGGTGTCTGGAGCGGGAAAACAACCCAGCAAGGTGCGAAATGTGTTTTTTTTACATCCAAGATTCAACAGAAAAACCTGGACACGTCCTCCCAGGTTGGTCTTGATCGAGATCCCATCTCGCCGCGAACTGGCATCGAGATCAAGGACACAGGCTGGATTTGAAAGTGGCTGCGGTCCAATATGCCGATGGATTTCAATAGCCGCAAGGTGGAGGCATCAATGCACTGGCAGTCCGAGGGAGACTACTTATGCCTCATCAACACCAAGCTCAGCAAAACCAAAAAGAAAGGCACGTGAGCACATGACCGGAGCTTGTGGCACACGTATTCAATTGACTCCCCTCGGCCAGGTTTTTGAGCTGAAACGTATAGCGCAGCAATACATGGCAGAACCGATTAGGCGCAACAAACCTGGAAATCTTCCGTATCCGAGAGAAGAACATCCCAGTGGACATCGTTGAGGCTCTCAAATTTCCTGTAATTTCTGGAGCGAGCGTGATGGCTCAGGTCAAGGACTCTGTCCGCGGCTTCCACTGGGAGACAAAAGGGTGGGTCCCTTGGAGAAACAACGTTGCCATGGCCAACCTACGTGATTTTGTGAAGTCGAGGCACCGCTTCTCATTGTTGACAAGCGACGAGTCCGGGCACCACCCGAAGATGTGGCTGGGATGAGTTCACTAGCGCTTGCTTGCCATGCGATCCAAGGTGGCCTGAATTTGTCAATGTTTAGCAGGGGTCTTTGTCAGTGTAGCACCGTGTCATGAAGATTCGTGGGATATCGAGCTGCGCTCGGACTAAGGTTCATCTATGGCCTGAGTGCATGCCTTTCGAAGCATAGAACGTGTGAAGTTGCGGCTCCGTGTCAGTCAATGAGGCAATGAGGCATCGATTGCACTTGAGGCAAAGAGAAGTGTGAGGCGTTGAGCTTCTTCGATTTGCCGCCTGTACCTCATACCTCCGCATCATGGCCTTGCAGTGAATCAATCTCTAATCCTGTCAGGTCCAACAGTTACAACAACTTTTTTTGGGCTCCAGAAGGTCAATACTTTGCTTGGCCCTCAAAATCTGCGGTCATTGGTTGTTCTGTGCAGGTTTCACTTAGATGCCAGTCCCTGTGAGGTGTGTGCTGCTTTGGGCCATGGCGATCTTTTGTTTGGAGGCATGACGAGTGATAACAAGCTGCTTGGACGCTTACCTTGCCAGACTTGATTTGCTAAGACTAAGAAGCTTGAATGATCCAAGATTGCAATCCACCAAGAAAGGAAAGAAGCCCACTGTTTGTGCAGCAATTCCTTCCTGGTTGGGCTACTTGCTTCAAGTCTTCGAAAAGCCTTGGCCAAGGCTAGAAATCTTGCACAAGGCAGTGTGGGGCAGCTAGCTGGATGTGTGGCACGTCTCACATGTAGGACGAGCACTTCATGCTGACAGATGTGCAATGGGATCCTTCTTCCAGGCGAGCGTTGCACTGCGTTAGCCTCATAGCCTTGGAGTGTCTCAGTCCCAGGTATGTGATTACAGCTGTGACTCAACCCATGCAGAATGAGCCCGGGCTTCAGTTCAATCATATTTCAAGATATGGTGGGAGAGACTTCGGTAACCCAGGATTGGAGGCTTCAAGTACAGTATGGAAGCCGGCTTTGCGATTTGGACATTCCAGGCTTGTCAATGGCTTGCAACAAGTTGAGGCACATGTTGCTCAGGGCCGCGTGCTTCACCGCCAGCAGAAGGAAAAACTTTGGCAAATCGCAGCAGCCTTTGTCTTCACAGCTGTATCATGCAGGTTAAGCCCGTCTCTGGGCTTGCGTCATCCATGCAGTGAGTCAAAATTGAGAACCCTTCGAGACTCTTCGGGACCCTTCGGGACCGGGAATGTTTGGGAAGGACCTTTCTTCTTTTTCAGTGCGAAGGCCTGGAGGCCTCATCCCCCATGTTTGCTGCCACCGCTGCGGGCTTGGCAACTCTGCCACAAAGTGTTTGATCTGAGCGTCTGAGGAAGAAGCAGGGGGAAATCAGGCCTTCGTGTGACGGGTTCAGAGCCAGTTTCACTCTGCAACTCGACAAGAAACTGCACTTTGTTGATCTTTGCCAGGAAAAATGTTAGACAATACTCTAAGAAGTACGACCACCTGGATGACCAGGCATGAGGTCCAAGCCGAACAGTAGGGGCATGTTCATCTCGAGGCTAAAGAAGCGGCCCGGAAGTCCTTCAAAGATGAGCGAGAGTCGAAACTGCGGAATTTTAAAGAGGCGAGGCGGCAAGGTGGCAAGGCATGTTGGTTTCTTCAAGCTGAATGCACGGCAGCTTGATGTTTTGCAGGTCTTGCAAAGACTGGACGAACACAAGTTCCGTCGTGCGATGCTCATCTTATGCCAAGCTTATTTGGAGTGATGCAATTCGAATGAGACGTGAGCGGCTAAGGCTCCGAGGAAAACGGATGGGACCAGGCAGTGGAGAGGCTGGTGAGAACGGGGAACCATCGAACCCTCTGGTCAGACTCTGTTTACGACCTGAAAGGATCGCAGATGGTCCCAGAGGGTCTATGGTTGGGCATTCGTTGCAACGCGTTTGTGAGGCACTTGGAGCAGCAAGGCTGGGAGCCGCTGCAGGTGGTGACCGAGGAGGTCATGGAAGTAACTGAGGACAGGGCTGTGTCCGGGCATGCCGAAGGGTCATTTTGGACAAATATGTTTGATTTCCAGTTTGAAGTCAAGAGAGGAAGCAGAGATGAGTGCAAGTTGACAGGAGAAGATCTGAGTGAATTGGCTTTCCATCCGCTTCAGTGTCACCACTCGAAGGATCAGATAATCGAGGAGAAGCACTAGTAGCACTGGCGTGTTCAGTTTACTTACATGCGCTTCATATCAAAATATCGACTCATGCAGACTGCGCAACCCACCACAATAAACAAGATTGAATCCGTGGGTGTCCCAGAGCACCGGGTAAGCCTTTGGCCACGAGCGCGAGAAAGCAATTGCACGAATCGACTTGTGTGCAATGCAGGCAATGCATCCGTGCTGTTTGAACAATTCCGTGAAATGTGAACTTTAACGCCTCCGGCTCCCGACGTTACAGGCCTGCTTTCTTATACTTGGAATTCTCCTACAAGTGTTCCTTTGGAACTTTCCCATTGGAATTCTCCAATTCGAATTTTCCCTTTGGACCTTTCCCATCTCCCTTCATTTCCTTGAACGCCCCATCATTCCCCTTCCCTTAAGTCTTTTTAGTTCCCGCGACTTCAACCTCGCTCGTTTCCTGCACATCCCTTCATTTCTCTTCAGTTGCGCTTCGTTTCCCATAATTTCCAACAACTTCTTTTTGTTCCCGTCCTCCGGCTCCCTTCACGTTCTGCCCTTGCATTTTCCTGCATGTTGGTTTCTCTCCAGTGCCCTCTTCATCTTCCTGCAATTCCTGTCACTTCCATTTCGTTCACTTCCAGTGACTCCTGGCAGGTGTAGGCCTTTCAACCCTCATCTGAATGGGCCTTTCAACCCTCATCTGCGTGGGCAGCCACGGTTGATGCGAGTTGGCTGCGCGGCGGCGTCAGCCCCTTTCCCTTTGTGTTTCCCCTTACCGAAGCTCCCCCACGCAAGAAAGATGACAAAAACCAAGAGCAGACCTTTCCCTGACGCAAGGCCCAAGTCGCCGCCGATTTCCCGAGCATGCTCAGACCTTCGCGCCATTAATAAGGCAGTCAGACCCATCACAAGCATTCCGCTTAGCATGAGATTCTGGCCACGTCATGGCAAGACTCTTTCCCTGCATTTCCCCTTCGTTTTCTGCAATTTTCAGCTCCTTGTTTCGCATCGCCAGCACGCATAGCATCATCCGCATCATCCGGGATGTTGCTGGCAATGCTGGTGGTGTTGTCCAGTATTATGCACCCCCCAAGACTTGTTTTGGACGCCGCGGGGAGACGCGACAAAAATCCTCGAAACCAATCCGCAATTCCTTCGCCCCCTTATAAGGGCGGGCCCAGCGCAAAACGTATGCACATGGTCGGCGGCGTGAAGCGGACGGCCTTGTACCTGAAGGTCCGGCTACGCCTCCTGGGTAGCATGTCGCCGCTAGGCAATTAGCCTTTAGCTATAGGGACTGCACCCTGATGCCGCCGACCCTCGCCACTTGGTCGTGATGCGCTGCCTAAATCCGGCACCTCTGCATCACCAGCTCGGGCTTGCGGTTTTGCTTGCCTGTGGGAAACCCTTGCAAAGCATCGCGTATATGCAGGGTTTAGGCCATGTGGCTGGCATCGTCAGGGTCTGGGCTTCAGCGGGGCTTGGTCTGCATCATCAAGACTTCCTTCCAAAAAGCCTCTCGACCCATGAAGCACTGTTTTTTACAAGGTGTCGGAGGGATATAAGCAAGGCTCATTTTCGCGCATTGTGGCACCAAGCGCTGCCAGGCATGCCGGCGATGCTGGGTCCTCGCTACGCTGTAAATACCGTCAAAAACCGCTGTGCTGAGCGGTGGGCTGTCGTTCTGTCCGTTTTGCTTTTGCTATGGCCGGCTCGCGCGCTGCGCGGTCCTTGCTTTTTTCGCGTTGGTTTTCGGGCCTTCTGGCGCGCGCGCGACCCCAGCCACAAAACGCTGCTATTTACGGTGTTTTGTTCTGGGCTGGCTTGCGGGCTGTTCTTTTGGGCGGGGCCTCTGGCGCGCGCGCGCTGGGGCCCGGCTGGGCCCAGAAAGCTGGCATCCCCGGCATCATCTGGGGTTGGGGTTTGCAACACGCATAACCTAACCAGCCAGGATACGTTTCTCATACAAAAAGCATGACATGACATGGCATAACTTCAAAGAGGCGTAGCCGGCCAGAAGCCGCAGGCCCAGAAAATAGGCGTCTGGGCTCGACCTGCGGCCCGATTAAGTTCTCCATCAATTTTGCATCCAGTTTCCACACATGTTCCATCAGTTTTTGCATCCTCTCGTTTTGCGACTCCGCGCGGAAATGCTACGAAAATCCTCAAAAATCACATAAACAAATCCGCAAATCCTTCGCCCCTTAGCAGGCTTTCCTTGCATCGCCCCTCCACTTTCTGCAATTCATCATTCGCATCATCCGGGATGATGCTGGCAACGCTGGTGTTGTTGCCCAGTATTAGGCACCCCCCAAAAGCATTCGTTTTTGGACGCCGTGGGGAGATGCTACAAAAATCCCCGAAAATCGCTTAAACCAAGCCGCAAATCCTTCGCCCCTTAGAAGGGCGGGAAACGTATGCTCATGGTCCGCGCATGGTCGGCGGCACGGCCTTATCCGGCTACGCCGCCAGGCAATTAGCCTGCTAGCTTCAGCTATAGGGGCTGCGCCCGTGCGCCGCCGACCCGCGTCACTTGGTCGTGACGCGCTGCCTAAATCCGGCCTTGTAAGCTCTTTTTGCCAGGGTTGACGATTCCTTTTGTGGTTCCCGAACCACTCAAGTCCACTGAGCTCCTGCACATGAGCCGCTCTTTTAGGCGTCGCTTTGCCTGCAGGGGCGAAATGCTCAAAGACGGCGCACATCTCCGGAGGCGAGACACCTGTGTGCCTTGGGCCGCCTGAAAGAAAAACTTGATTTGGGACAATGCTTCTTTTTTGGCCCGAGCGCGCTCAGATTTCAATCAACACTTTGCTCGTGGGTAGCATTTCATTCATTCCGCAGTTCATCACGACCAGGCCTGTTTGTGGTTGGCGCATGGCATATCGTAATCATACTTGCCAGGCGCATGTGGGCCCCAGTTTTTTCGCTTTGTGAACACATTACATTCATCATTCCCAGACACGTGTGACCCCGCTTGTTCCACTTCATCACTACCGCACACACACACACACGTGGGCCCCCAAGTTTTGCCCCTTGTCTTTGGGGAAGCATTCATCATTACTGGACACATGTGGGCAATTCTTGTCCCCCGTTCCCTTCGATCTCACACCATTTGCGGCCGGCCATGACAAAGCTGCGTCCGTTGCCGGATCGCTGCTCAAGGCGCAAAAGGGTGGCAGAGCCCTCGGAGATGCATGTTGCCAAACTGCTCTGGGACAACGCCGCAGCAATCGCTTGCTCGCCAACAGAGCGCCGTGTTGTTCAGGCTGCCGTGTTTTGAATCTTGCGGATGCGTAGACGCCATAGAGGGCCAAGAGCTATAATGGAAACTCGTTTTTTGTTGTGGTAGTTTTTGTCATACGCGTGGGAAGCTTGAGCTGTTGGCGCAGGGAAGCCTGGAGCATCCTGGAAACCTTTATAAACTTTAAGCGTCTGCGCTTGAAGACGGATCGCCTGTTGCAAGCAAATCGCTGGGGCCGTTTCAGCCGAAAAAGCTGCAGTTTGCCGGAGGTTCCTGTTCTTCGGCGCTGAGCAGCGTCCTTACAGGCAGGGGGGAGCAGAGAAGGCTCCTTTGCAACGATTTTGCATATTAGTAGTAAATAAGTACGATGACATTTATGGCCCAGAGGTTCACATGTGCAAACAATCAAGCACGACATGATCACATGTCGTTTTGGCTCAAGTAAAAAAGGCGCGCTTGCGCGCGTTTACCCCAAGTAAGGGAGAGGTCGCAGTCACGGCGGGGTTTGTTCCTCTTAAGGTCCCGGGTTCCCCCGTTGTTGTGAAAACTGAAGAATTTGATCGGTCAGTATGGGGTTTTACATCCATTGCATCCGCAGTGTGGCTGTTCAAGCGTGAAAATGTGCGAGCAGCGCGCTTGGACGGTTTGTTGTTTCCTTTTGGGCCCCAAACCGGTAACCCTTGAATCTATAGGTTATCAGCCGTAGGCCCCTAGCTCTAAGCAATGGACGGTTCCCTTGTGCCAGTTGATGGATCCAACATGCCTGTGGATGCTGCCGGAGCTAGCTCCGGCAACGCCACCGGCGGCGGTGTGCGAATGTTCGCATCAAGCGCTAATGCGCAATACAACCGCACCCTGATGAATTCCCTTCAACTGTGCAATACCGCAATCTTTGCTTTTGGGAATGATGCAGCCATTAGGTCTGAAGCCGAAGCCCTGCATCAAGCAGCTGTTACGCATTTGCAAGCGGAAAGCCGTGAGGAGCTCCGTGTCGCACAGAATCAGCTGCATGCACACTACGCTGAATGTGTGCAAGCCCAGTCGCATAGAATTCGTGAATACGAACAGCGAGTGAGCGATGAGTTCATTCAAGAAGTGAACTTCGCTGAAGCTAGGATAAGCCAAGTGTGTGAGGAAAATGCCCAAGCATTGCATGAAGCGGAAATGGGACACAAAACAACTGAGTTGCAGCTCCTTCATGAGCAAGCTGCCAAGCGCGCCGATGACACAGCCCGTGTCGAAGCGACGCATGCCAGGACGATTGACATGATGGCCCACCAAAACGGGCTTCTGCAGGACGAGCTCGATGAGCTGAAGAAGTATCAGAAGCAACACGACCTCCGCGAGGATGGATCGAAGCCCAAAGGGGTAGGTGATACCCGAGAGGATTCACCAGAGTTGATGACCGACGACATGAAGTCAGCTCGGTCCCAAAGGTCAATGTTGGACCCGTTGACCCATCCGTTTCAATATGCAAAGGAAAAGTTGAGGTCGCTTGTTACCTATGACGGTTACGGGGATGAATATACCCCTAGCGTGATTCCAACTGCCGAATGCGAAGCACTGCCCGCAGATGCTCGCGATCCGCAAGGACCAGCTGAAAAGCCATCAGGTAGCAGCCGATCCCCGGTGAAAACTAGCGCACCGGTCCCACCCCTGCAATTCTCTCAGGGGCCAATGTCAACTGACCGCAAGCAGGGTGCTAAGCCTCCTGGCGGTCCGCCACCTGATGATGATGGCGATGGCGATGGTGATGAAGACGAAGGTGATGGCCTCGGGCCTAACCTCGGCAATGAAGCATTC